AAATATTATTTAAAATTCTAAATTGTAAGGCCTAATAATAAGGCTCCAGCCTATAAAACGTCACCGTTTTACTAGTTTATTTAATACTCTATAACTAGCAATTAATTATCGTCTTTGTCCACAGCATCAATTTCCTGCTCCGCTTTGCGATGCTCTAGCAGCATATCTATATCTTACCAATCCTGGTCCAGAAGCCGGATTTAAACCAATTGATCCTAAACAAATTGTAATTGCTGGAACTAGTGCCGGTGGTGGATTGGCTGTTGCTACCGCATTATTCCTTCGTGACATTGGTTTACCATTGCCGTCAGGACTTGTTTTATGGGTATACACCAAATATCATAAATATTTACAAATTCTTTTTTTAATTTATTTAATTTATTCCATCAGATTAATAATGTCTATTTTAATAATACATAAAAGTCGCCATGGGTAGATTTGACAAGTAGCATGCCATCATATTGGAAACCTGAAATGGATAAAACTGACTTTATTGCTGGAGTACTAAACATTCGTAAGCTTGGCCCACCATCTCCTATGTCAATTGAATATCTTGAACGCGTAAAAATTCTCTCGGAAAAAATTAAACAAAAGAAACCAAAAGTGGTCGGTCATCCTTCTTTTACCAAAGTTCCAAGATTTATGTTATATTGCGCAAATGAAGCTTTGGCCATTCCTTATGTTGGCTGAAAGTTTAGGAAATTTGCCACCCATTTTATGTGTAAGCAATTGGATTATAAATTATGTTTCATATTAATTTTATGTTAATCACTTAATTTATATATGTATATATATAGCAAGTAGGTGGTGGTGAAAGATTTCTAGATTCAAATATTTTATTCAGTTTCAGAGCTTCCGATCCAAGTAAATTTCAATTACCTAAATATGCTACGACAAATTTTGCTAATTCACCATTTAAGAAGCCAACTGAGGTCACTCTTGAAGTTTATGAAGAGGCGTGTCATTGTTTTCAAAGTGTGAGTTTTATTTGATACCAAAAAATTTTCTAATTTTTATGGGAACTATTATTTCCACACCCTTGTACTGTACGTACATTGTAAATTATGCACATATCGTATAGATTGACAATATAAAGAAATTTGATCAAAACAATACAATGTACGTTGTGATCTAAGGGCGTGGGAATATCAGTTCACTTTTTCTACACGTTACTCTGGTTATACCGACGCTTCAAAAAATCAAGAAATTGTCCGACATATCCAAACGTCGGCTTAACCAGAGGCATTTTCATATTAAGTATTATTGGTTCAAAATGTCGTTATAGTCAGAAGGTGTATCCAGGTGTCGATATAACCAGAGTGACGTGTATTATATTTTACATATGTATTTATATTTAATTTTCTTTTTATAATCATAATTAGTTTATGATCGAAAAAATTACCCAGTTCTCGATAAAAAGTTCTTGCGATTTCATTAAGAGTTGCACACTTAATGGAAGTATTCCGGATAAAGAAGATTCAAAGGCTATTAATACTATAGCAATTACACCTAATGGTGACGTTAAAGAGTTAGATGAAAAATTCCTTGAATGTTTAAAGTGGGAGAATTTTGGAGTTGTCCCAGAATTAGAAGTTGAAACTTGAACAAAGGAATATCTCATTCCTAAAAAAAATTTTTTTTAACTTTGGAATTATAATATATAATGTTAAGCTTGGAATCGGATGATGCTGAGAATTTGAATTTTATATTTTTAAATTGAGACCCAAATTCTCAGCATCATCCGATTCCAAGCTTCATCCCCGACATATAATATTAATTTGACATGTTTACTCATAAATTGATTTTGCGATAAAAAATATGTCAAATAGTATAAATTTATGGTTTTACCAAAAAATCCCGACATCCAAAATCTCGACAGGTCATAATACTGACATCACGCGATGTGACAATTAAAAATTTAACGCCTGACAATGATTGTTAATGTGATTACTAATCTTTAAATATTAATCGTCGGGATCGGGATTATGGTTTTCGAGATTTTGGATGTCGGGATTTTATGGTAGAACCAAAATTTATATGTTATATACATCTTTTTTTTAATTGGTCATTAAAACTTATCACCTGGTAAAATCGTGAAACATACATATGACGAAAAATATCATGATAATGTCTTTAAAGCTTGTTTTTCAAAGAATACGAGTGCATTTATCATTATTGAGCAGATTTCTTTGTTTGTAGAAGGAATAATTGATATTATTATACAGTACAATTTCATTAGGGATGTTATCCTGCTTAAACTAGTTAGTTTGTGCTTCGAAACACGCTCGAACACTGTTCCGAAACACACACATAAACTGGGTTTCAAACTCCTTTAAAACTGGATATATACGTATGACTATTAATTATGCTTGCCTGAACATGTGAGTTCAAAACCCGTTATTTGTTGGAATACTGTATATGCATTAAAAATTACAGATCGCGAAGCTTTTTGTTCTTAAGATCGATTTTGAACTCGACTCGAGTTTCATTTTACATGATTAAATTCACGTGATTAAAAAACGGGTTTCGAACAGAGCTCAGGTAAGCAGGATAACATCCCTAAATTTCATGCCATAATTATAGGCACACCCCAATGGGGTGCATTAATTTTAGTAGGGATGGTTCCGTTCAACTTTTTGAATTTTACGTACGTACGTACGAACGCACGTATTTGCGTGTGGCTTCAGAAGATAAGCGTTTTAATGTGTATTGTGATTATCGTATAAGTTATTATAAGTGTAAATTTTTGATTCTTTGGTTTGTTCAATAATAGCAGCTATAGAGAAAAAAATAAAATAAAATAAATGGTAATTGTTTAATATAGATGCGAAGCTATGTTATGGTTACAACTTCTTTTTCTCATAAATGGTAATCGTTTAATATAGATGCATATTAAATTCGTACTATGCTATGAAGTTTAATTCTGTTAACACTTGTGTTTCAAGAGAATGTAAGATTAACCATAATTATTTATTTATTTAATCGTTCAATAAATTACCAGAGTGAGTATAAAGTTTAATTCTGTTTAACGCTTGTGCTTCAAGAGAATGTATGATTAACCGTAATAATTAATCCTATCGAGAAAAATTTCATTTATGATATCATAATTTCACAATTGAACACTTAAGAGGGAAGACCTGTAAATAAAAATTTATCTCCTAAAGAATTGTGATATCGGTATTACGTAATTAATCGTATATGAGCGCTCGTAGCGGAAAGGTGCAAGTAAATATTTTATCACGATTTTGACCAATCAAATTTCAAGATCAGGATGATCTTGAAATTTGATTGGTCAAAAATCGTACAATATTTTTGTGAGCTATTTTGTGAGTCATATAACATTCTGGTTAAATACCAGATGAGAACTGGTCTAGGAAAATGTCGATCTGGGAATTAAAGGATTCCCGATTAAGAATAGTAGAATAGTATTCATATCGGAGAATTCTCAAATTCCCCCAGATTGACATTTTCCTCAGATAATTATATATGTGGTCAATTACGTAATATCAATTCTTCAGGGATGTTTTTACTTACCGTTACAGGTTTTCCTACTCGAGCACTCAATTCTTCGATGATTAAGATGTATTTTTAAAACTCTGAGGATCAAGTACAAAGAACAAAATAAATTTATATAAAAAAGCGTAAAAGACAATTGCTTAGTGATATATATACAAGATATATAAAGCCAACGTAGTAGTCCGAAGTCCCCTGAAAATCAAATATTATGGAGGCCCAAAACATATAAAAAGCCCTAGTTTGTCTAAAAAAATAGTGCGTACTTCAAGAAGTAATAGGGTAGTAGAATAATACAATGAACATCTTGTTAATTTCTGACTATTGTTAATAATCATGTTTCATTCAATTAAATAAAAATGCTTATAAGCTTATTTCAAAGTTATTACTGAAACTAACTTGCGTCGCATATGGTCCTGCGCAGCATCACATGTTGCGCAGCTATCCCAATAATTATGTAATAAAAAATTCTATAGGTTTGCACTTAAAATCAGTTATAAAATAACTTTAATATTCAATAATAAACGTATAGTTTTTTACATCAGCTTGTGAATATTTAAAGTTCAAATAAATATTTTTAAACACACCAACCGACATACACCGCTGCGTAGCCAGTAAGTATGCTTTATCAAAATATTTTTAAACAGAAGTCTCAATAATTCAAATTCAAAGAATAACAACATTTGTCAACCCACATTAATGAATGAATTTGAATTGTAGTAGCCCGAGTGGATTAACTCGTGAGTCAACACGCGATTAGCCTGTACATCTTTCAGAACTAAATTTATCGAATTCATCAATACTGTTTTAAGTTAATCCATAGGTGTTTTTTAAAATATTAAATTTCGTGATCTAGTTAATTTTTAAGTTTCATTGTACGTGACTGTGTATAACCATATTCATAGTCCGTATGTACGTATTCCAGGTTACTACGTGTAATACTCCATATCACCAATGTTTTTTAAATATAATCCACACTCGATTACATCTTTATAAGATATAGCTTTAAACTGATGCATTATCACCGCTCTTATTTTCACTTGTTCATCCCTGTGTTTGTTACTATTATTAAAAGCTTGTAAAATAAAGTATTCTGGCTGATTTAGTCGTGATTATGTTCTTTAGGGAAATAACTTTCAGAAAATCATAAAGTAACTCCTTTACACGATTATTTTCTCGTAGCTTCGTAGCTAAACCTATTACTTAATTGACTTATAATTCACTTTTCTTTAATGATAGTATAGAAAGGGTCGCTTAACAAAGAGAATAAAGGGTTTAAAGAATCTCAAGTACGGCGTTTAAGATTTTCCGAGGGTTATTTTTCCCGAGAGAACATAGTCTTAATTAAATCAACAAGCATTATAACTAATCTTATCGGGATAATGTTCTTTTGGTAAAACGACTATCAGGGATTTGAATTACAATAAAAAATTTTTTTGTAAAATTAGTTTTCACTAGTGACTTGAAAGTTGGACCATAGCCAGGCAATTAGTTGATATCGTAGCTTGTTTTGCCAATACTGTATTAAAAAAGCTGATACATTTTCGTCGGTAAAAGTATCAAAAGTTTTTTTTACTATTTTCTTGGCTGATTTTCAATTATTTTCAGTGCCTAATTGAGTGAACTCTTGTAAGCAAAAATTTCGATGTTGAACTGAATTGAATCGTACATATTCGATAAAGTATTAATGATTATTTACCCGGTGCGAATTTTAGTTAATCTTCTAAGAATGCTTTCTAGTTTCAATTTCCTTGCAAACAAATCTCGGTAGCTTTCTGATTATGGTTTGAAACTGGGAATTGGATCATAATAACGAGTAATTCATTTATCAATTAAAATCGGAAAAATTATTAAGGATTTCTACTTTTCTAAAAAACTCGAATTTCAAAGAAAATTTCGTCAAAAGTTTATTATTATGATTTAAATTTATTTTGAATGTAAAAAACCCTCACTTTTATATACCTATTATATCAATCTATTTAACGATCCTCTTTAGTTACTTGGTTTCTTAATTTAAAAATGAACTCGAAATTTTAATAATTTATTTGATCGAAAATGAAACATATATTTAGACTTTGGTTACTATCCCAAATGAAATAAAACTCCTGATTCCCAAACCCCAATTACCTAATAATTTCTCATTTAAATAAAGGTTTGAATCGCAACCCTATTTATTAAAGACCGTTAACACTTTAATTTCTAGATTGTTATGTAAAGCAGCACTTTGAAAAAAAAAACAAAGACACCTTAACGCTAAACATTAAACCCGTAACTACGCATACAAGCTTTATGAGCTTCAATCAAATCTCGGCATTTTTCTTCATCTCCGGTTTGAAATATACATTCGTCACGAGCTTTTTTTGTATCCGGACATGCACAACATGGTTTAACCGATGGTTGTGGTTGTGACTGTTGTGAAGGTTGATGAATATCGGTAGTAATAGTTGAAGTGGAAAGTTGATTTATTCCGATTTTGTTGGTTGTTGACATTGTAGAGTTAATCCGACAACAGAAAAAAATTTTTTTAGACCCAATTACATTGTTTATCAGTAAATATGTATACGTATAAATGATATGACGATCCGATTTTCAAACCTAAGGTTATTCTTGATTAACAAACTTAAATGTCATTGTCATCTCTAATAAAAGTAAATTTAACATTCAGGTAAGAAAATCTCATTTTTTTTCATCTCAAAAAGAAAACAAGAAGGCAAATTAAAGGCGAATTTTTTTGTTTTTTTTTGATGGATATTTTTTTTTAAAAAAAAGTGGAGGAGTAGAACTATTGTTCAATAATATCAAACAAAAAATTATAGAAATACCTTCAACTATTAATCCACCAAAACCTACCACTATGGAAGATTTGGTTTGTTTTATTCCTTCGATTAATATACATTATAAAGCTGAAATTTTTTAGATGGAATGTGTTTGATTATTAGAAAACTAATTTAATGTTACTACGTTTCGATAAAGATTTTATGGATCAAAAATAATTTACTCCAAGAGAGGTCTGAGTTATTTGTTAGCGGTAATACAGTGTAGGTATTCTTTTATCTTCAAAAATACATATTATAATATATTCTTTGTAATAATATTTTCTTTTCCTTTTTAAAATTGATCAAAAAATTAGTCGACCTGGTATTTTAGTTTTAATTAATGATACAGATTGGGAACTAGAAGGAGAATTAGAATATGAAATTAAAAATAATGATGATATCGTTTTTATATCAACTTTACATGGTGGTTAACTACTAATATTAAATATATACTAAGATTATTGACTAAATTTAATAAAAGAATATACTACTAAGGATGTAATTAAACTGTCAAATAATATATATATCCTAATTTTGACTAGTCAAATTTCATACTAAATGCCAAAACACCAAAAGGTCCGTATTTATGTACGTACGCACGTACGTATAAATTGTTAAAGGAAACATGCAATAAAACTAATTTGGGCATTATTTTTAATTAAGGGTGTAGCGGTAAGCTCGGGATTTATAATACGATCTAGCCGAGAGAAATGCATACATTCGTAACGATCGATAATGTTTTAGAGTACTCTGAACTTGTCGGGCAAACCAGAAAACCCCAATCCGATCCGGAACACTAATGTCGTAACTTCTTATTCAAAATAAGACAGTTTATGTAATTTTCGTTTTTACAAACTTTGAATTGAAACTTTTAAAACGGTTGCAACTAGTATAAATCTCGATCATTGGTACATATTCGGTGATTAAGAATATGACAACCAGCATTATAAGTTATAGTTATTGTATGGGTTGTAAAAATAACTAAATTTGCACGGGTTAACATTACATGGCCGAAGGCCATGTAACCCATGCAAATTTTGTTATTTTATAACCCGATAACTATTTTATTGCACGGTGTCTGACGTACAATCCCGTGCCAATAAGTAAATGAAAAAAGCACAAGTTGTTACATAAGACCCGTGCAATAAAGTAATATTTTCAGTGCACACTTGAGAACACTTTAAATTTTTTGCTATTATTCTTTTGCACGAACCGCTTTGTATGTACATTCATCCGGAAAATCAAACTAATAATACAAACAAAATCCAAAAATAATCTGTATTTATAATTTAACGGAATAACTGAATTTACATTCAAAACTATATAATTTGATTATTTGATTATTTGTATAAATTAATATCCAGCACCCATTCCATTCTTTCTATAATCGCCTACAGCTATAAAATCACAAAATATATATATATATATAAGCTATAAACATCATACACAATTACCACAATTACGAGAATTTGAACAAACATATACCATGAATAGTTCCATCTTTTAGTTTTCTAACAGCATGTACTTGGCACGAATACTCTCTATCTTCTACATTATGTAATAGGACCTACCAAAAAAATATAACAAAAAAAACCCCAAATAAATAAACTATTAAAAATAAAACTCAAAAATTTAAGATAGGCAAAATAAACACGTAAATACTTACAGTATGTCCAATGTATAATAATTTATCGACTAACTCGTAGTCATATCCTTGTTCCATTAACAACTGCATTTCACATTAACGTAATAATTAATTAAATTTTAAATTGAAATTAAAAATAGAAAATTTGGTTGAATTAAATAAATACGTACCATATCAGGTAACAACTGATGATGAACTCTAGGATAATTGATAGCATCCAACAAGTTCATATCAAAATCATATAAGTTTAACAATACCTACAATTTAAATAAATCCAAAGACACATTTATAAGTTAATGTATACGGATCAAACACTATAATTAAGTGATAAGAATACCTGAAAAACAGCAGAAAGAATTTTAGTTCCACCACTGCCACCAGCCACTAATTCAACATTCCCATCTTCATTTTCAACAATTGCTGGAACTATTGATGACAATGGTCTTTTTCCAGGAGCTATGATTTAATTACCAAAATGAATATATACAAAAATATAAAATATGATATAAAAATTATTGTTAGAAAGACAAAACATACCAGCATAATTGTAAGGAGAAGGCATAAGTCCGAAGGCATTTGGTCGTCCTGGAATAGAAAAATCATCCATTTCGTCATTTAACAATATTCCAGTTATAGGATCTAAAACTCGAGACCCCCAAAATAAGTTCACCTATTAAAGATACGTAAAATCAAGACAAGTGTTTCATAAAATTCG